TGTTGTTCGACATTTTAGCTAGAATTGCCAACGACTAACAAACAAAGGTGTAAAATTTGTACGAGAAAAATTAAATTGCAAGGAAGAAATTTGTACTGCAATAGGAAGTAGCAAAGCCAGCATTCACTCGTGTGTTTTATGAAATCTCTAAAATTAGAATGATTTCACAAACTTGTAAAATTTTTATGAGGAAATGAGGAATCGGTCGTTTTGACCATTCTGGTGACTTTATTGACAATTTTCAAAATATCAGTAATAAGATGTTGGTAAAATTGAAGTAAATTTGAACTATGGACATGCATTCTGTAAATTACACGTACAAAGTACGTGTTTTTATTACAGCACGCGTCCTCTCTTGTACATTTCGCACAGACTTCTGTCATATCCATTTCTATTTTCCAATTCTTTTTTTCACAATAGAAATTGACCGACACATTTTTAAAAATCCAAATTTCTTGAATCACTTATGATTATCTTTTGCAACTGATACTTTAGAATTAATATCTGTTGCTCTCATAATAAACAGTAACAAAAAATAGGATATGTAATAAATTGTTTTCATAATATATAAAATTAAGAAAAATTAAATAATCAAATATTGCAATCACTTATGATAATCAACATTCAATCGAGACACAGTGTGTTTTACTATACGCTTCGTGAACAGAATGCAGGCACAGACTCTCTGTAAACAGTGGGCCTTATATTAACAGATTCTGAAACGAATATCGCTTTGCCAGGATTTGTCGCGATAGCGCGAACCAGATTACGCGGATGCACAGTTGATATTCGTCTTACAGAAACAACGGACCATGGAAATCGTGAATCATCTGTGTCCGATGATATCAGGGTGTCTGACGAGGAAAGGAACTAACCCCTGACATTCACGGTTGTTTTTCTAAACACGGTCGTTACGTTTGGCACTAGATTTGTTGTTTTACTCACCAGCGATTATAACGCGGGCCGTATGACTGATTTGACCCTCCCCGTTTCGCGCGATGCACGTATAATCCCCGATGTCCTCGTTCTTGATCGTCGAGATCCTGAGCTCGGTGCCGTCGTTGAATATCCCGATGGTGGTCGACGGCTCGACCGGATTCGCGTCCTTGTACCAGAGGATCTCCGGCGTCGGCGTACCCTCCGCTTGGCAGTTCAATATTATCGCGTCGCCCACGTTCACGTAGATCATCTCCTCCGGCGTGATGCTAAATTTTGGCGGCGCTACGAAAACACGAATCAATCGTTTTTATCCAATCGTTATCGTGCAGAACTGTAAGCAAATCGCGAGCAAATCCGAGAATATCGAACGTGACTGTGCGCGGAATCGAAAGTAGATAGAGCCAGAATATGGTCGGACCAACGCGTCCGGCCGACTGATTGCGTTTTTATCGATCATCCTTGAATCGAGAGATGTAAACATCAGTGTGAGGTGATTTTTACGGGGTCTGGAACGGAGTCTGGAGGAAACCGCGGCAACGACGACATTCGTAGCGTTGCATTACTCGAAGGGAACGGCATTAACACGTTGATCGCTCAGTGAAAATCGAGTAAATTTCCTGCAAAGCCATAAATTCAGGCTTGCTGTTATCTACTTCTGAGGTGTCTTATTGTTTTATACTTTTTCCCTATGTTTTCGTTTTTTATTCTTTTCAGTGTACTCTTTGTACAGAGAGTCTCTCAAGTATGGACCATTTAGAAAATATTCAACGAGGCACTTAAATCTCAGTTAGTTTTACTTCTCCAATATATCACATATAACTATTATATGTTATATTATATTATATAACACACAACTATTATATTTTTATATAAATAAAGTAGTTATGACTTCAAAATAATTTAATAATTTGCCATACTGTTACTACATCGCTATTTGATAATTTAATCTAAATCAAGAACTCGTTCTTCTAATTTTTCCAAATATTATTATATCCTTGTCCCAAAATTTGAAACTAAGATCGTCACCCATTATGGATAACGAAAATGGAAATTTGACTGTGATGGACGATGTGACGATCAACGTGTTAAGGTATCAATCAAACCTTCGAGTCGCGAGAATTTAGGGAATTTTTCTCACGCGCTTTTCCAACATTTTCATCTTCAATGAGTTCCCATTCGGAGCAAATCCCTTAAATGACATCGACGACCGTCACGGCACAAAGGATCGTCCATTTTCACCGCCTCCCAGAGCGCCGTCTCTTCCACTTACATTTGAATCGAAGAACGATGAAAGAAGGAAGAGAAGAGAAAGAGAGCAGCCGAGTTACCGAGCAAGTTCGCCAAGAAGTAGATGATAGGAAAATTCATTGGGACATGATAGGAAAGTCAAGGAACACTTTCTTCTCTCTTTCTCTCTTATTCTCGATCGTTCTTTGCGCATTGGTAGAACGATACGTAGAATCGTACGTTGGAATCGCCCCTACTTGGAGAAGATATATCGCGACAAGCGTCACGACGAAGGGAAAAACGGAAACGCAAGACACGAACAAGGCCGAGGGCGAGAACGCTGCAAGGAAGAAAGAAGGGGCAACAGTTTACGAGTGTGACGCGAGTAAACGACCGGCTAGAGACGATTTCAAAAGTACAAAGAGATTCTGAGCGCTTTCGCTCGGGCCGAGTGGTTCTCTTTTCTTTGACGCCGCTGGCGAATCCTTAGTCGTTGCAATCGCCCTGCGCTGACGTTGCCGTCATCCTCGTTGTCGTCGTTGGTTGACTGTTGTTGACGGCGACGATGACGCGGTCGAGTGTGGCCGTGGGCTCGACACACGTATGTACCGACCGAAACGATCTCGTGGAACAACGAAAGAAAGCCCGTTCGAAAAAAACGGCGATAAAAATACAACTGTAGAAGTTTGAGAGAGAGAGAGAGAGAGAGAGAGAGAGAAGAAAGGCACGCATCGTTTGCTAAAATATCTAAATACTTCTTTTTTTCCCTACGGCCGTCCGTCGACGTTTATGGGCAAACAAAATGTGGCAATAAGTTTTTCTTTTCCCTGGCTAGTATTTCTCCTGTTTCTTCGTTCTCCCATCCCTCGCCTCGGTTCGATGACCCGGCCATCGCGACGTCGTCGTTGTCGTCGTCGAAACACTGACGTAACGCGTAAAACTTTATCGCGTCGCTCGACGAAAGAATTAAATTGAATTCCCAAGAAACGACGTTGCTTTCTCTCCATTCTTTTTATTTCCCTGTTTCGTTTCTCTTATCAGCGACGCTTACCGGATTTTCCTTCCTCTCTCTCTCTCTCTCTCTCTCTCTCTCTCTCTCCCTCGTTTTTCGTTTGTCGTTCGAAGATATAAAAATTCGCGGACCGTCGAGAATCGAGCAAGGAAAGAGACGTTCGTTCAACTTCTCCGTCTGCCTCCAACAAACGCACGCTACTCGTCGCGGTCATAAAATCTTCTTAAGCGCGAGATAATATTAATGAGACTGCTTCGAGGTAGAATCGATGTAAGAACTTGGCCAACTCGAACCCGGCTCGAATGAAACTTCCGACTTAAATTGCATTCGCGGAAGCTCGTTCGAGTCGCGAACCTTTATTATCGCAGTTAAGTCTTTTTTAATCGATATTGCGACGACGTCGCGTAATCGCGTTTTCTTTCCTTCTTATTTTTTCTTTTCTTTTCTTCTTTTTTCTTTTTTTTTTTCCTTGGACCCAGCAACTTTCCTTAAGTGGAAATTCTTGGCCGACAGGCCGCGCGAACGCGAGGCTCTCGAAAATATGTATAAATAACCGTCGGAGTTTCGTCAGGTACTTGGACGTCAGCTAACTGAGAATCAAGCGATTAGGATGATCGTTCGTGCGGAATGTTCGAAACTGATCAACGAGTCGCGATGCTGACTGAGGTCGATATGAAAGCGCGGCATCAGGTACGATAGTAGGTGATGTATAGGGACGATTGGTTAAAGCTAGAACCACACGAGCGCTTTATACACGTGTTGCGCGTCGCTTTCTCTCCGCTGAAACAGAAACCTTGTGTTTCATTTCGATATAATTGGCAACTCTGATACAATGTTCGTCGCGTGTTGCACGCTGGTAACGCGATACAACGTTTAACATCGTTTGATTAACATACACAGCTATCAGTACATACACAGATTCATTTTTTCACCGAATTGCAACGCCGAAATGGAACGTTCAGTTGGACAAGGCTCTACCTCGCCGGAGAAAATGTAGAAAACGCAGCAGCGTGGTTCTGATTTAACGAGAGGAAGGAAAGCTCGAACATAGCTCGAATGATGATTCTCAAATGAAAGTCACTTACCGTGGACGTCCAGGTGGAACCATGTACCGTTCTTGTGACTGTTAGGCGACCTGTTGAGGAAGACGACCTTGCACTCGTACCATCCTTGATCGCTCTCGCGGATGTCGGTCAGGTTGAGGCTCGCCACGCCGTACGGTGAATTCGGCGAAACCCTCGAGACTCGACCTTCGTAACCTTCGCCACTGTGGGTCGGATACGACTCGTACCATATGTATATCGGTATCTCCTGCCCCTTGCACCAACACCAACACGCAACATAAACGAGGGATCGCCATGAACGCGTACATACTGGTGCGAGACTCGCCTCGGGACACGCTGGACGCTTGGTTCTCGATTTCGCGAAGCTCGTCGTCCCTGGACACGTGCTGGGTTTCGACGTTCATCGGTTCATCGATGCTTCCACGCCGATGCGTCCCACGTCAACAAATCCGCGTGTCATAGTCAACGTAAAAAAAAAAAGAAAAAAAAAATCGAGATCCGCGAAGCTGCTAAGCGACGCGTTCGTCGTGGGAAATTTGCTAGAAAATTTCGGACCTGCTCGCACCAGCTGCTTGGCTAATGAAATGACAAATGACGAGAAGACAGAGGAGATGCAGCGTGTGTGTGAAGAGCGGAAAACGATCTACGGCCGCGATTGGCCGCCGAGTCGCCGAGACGGCGAGTCGCTCTGCCCGGCGCGAACGACTGAACGTAACGAGCATGGCCTCCCCTCCTCCTCCTCATTCCCTCTAATTCAACGCGCCGGGAAGAGGAATCCTCTTAAATTTTCATGCTCGTTACGTTCCACCCGGCACGAGTGGACGGCACGACAACTGTCATTTTCCATGCAAGTCTCTACGGCAAACAAAGGAATTCGTTGTGCGGCGATGAAAAAGTAATTCCCAGGCATAGACCCGTGCGTGGATAGAGAAAGATAGATAGATAGATAGATAGAGAGAGAGAGAGAGAGAGAGAGAGAGA